GGTGCGTTCAACAGCGAGACAACATATACATTTTTAATGTGAAGACATTTAGTTATCTGTCAGACATAATCTGATCTAGAAGAGATTCTTTGTCTAGTGGCTGATATGAGGGGATACCTCATCAATTAAATGAATCACATATTAATTGTTTACTTGTATGCCATCATTTGTTAGCATCAGTTTGGGGGTGTTTGCCCTTTGGTAATCAGTGCCTGTTTGGGCCACATGGACATGATTTCCACTCAATTTCAATTCAGCACACAAACCTACACATGCCACTTGTGCCAACTTTAATCAAGAGCTTGTGGCTAACATCATCGTAAAGAATACAGACAAAAAAAAACATGAATTTCACATGGATTGTGATGGCTGAATCCAAATAGAAACACTGTCTGTGCCAACACTTGAAAGCTGCAAAAAAGATGAAATTAAAGTTTACAACAGCATTTCAGCTACTTGCTGTTGTTTGATTATCAGCTTATCAGAGATTCAGCATCGTACCTGCTGCCTGCACCACTTTTAAGTGGGTCTCCCCTCCCTTGCTGCTACATAACAAGCGGCTCGTCAACACAGCCAAATGGAGCACAGCCATTCTCCGTCAATGAGCACAACACCAGACATATTTGAATCAAAGATGTGGACAGCGAATCCGACGTCTGGAACAAAAGCATTTTGATTTCTGATGGATTTCATAACATATAATTACCAAAACATACACCTTAGAAGGGGCCGTTATTATAAATAAACCTTGTCGTGAGATTGTTTTCCGAACAACCCTTGCTTTTACCACATTCATGAATGTTCCCATCGTTTCCAGTTATCTGCCAGTGTACCATCATCCTCTGTTTCTCCCGCGCAGTTCAATTCAATTTTTATTGTCCCAAGAGATGAATACAGTTTGCAGATGGAGTTAACAATAAAATAATGGAATAGAAATATACAATAAAAAAGCGTAGTGGGAATGCAATAAAATAAAGGAACACAAGTGAAATCACAAAGAAAGTGTTTTATGCCACACAGACAATGAGCTGCTAAAACCCTGCAGGGAGTCAATAGCTGAATATACTGCAATAAAATCACCAAAAGGAATTGGTGTAGCACTTATGACTGACAGTAATAAGGTTTACAAATATTTCTATTCAGTTGTGAGAAGGAGTAGAGACATTTTATTCTACAGTTAGTGAATAATGGGACAGCTAGTTAAAGGAAAAATCCTCCTCCAGTTTAACATTGTTTAAAATAGCAACTGGAAGATATCTCAAATTCTTGTTTGGTGCTCTGTTTTTCCATGGATATTATAAGATATTTCCGATGCAGCTACAATGGTATAAAAAAGTAAAAAGGGCCACAAATGCAGCACTAAATTTCTCTCAAACATCAACAGCAGGCTAAACATGCTGTTTTGGTGTCAGTCCCTCAGGATTATTGAGCAAAGCACTTCTTTCTAGACTCTTCATTTTGCACCGACTTTCAACCGTCACACAGAGAGAAAGAAATCCACCAAGAGAAGAGGAACACACAACAATCACTCCACCGACAGTACCCTCAAGGGACCAGTACAATACATCCAGCAGACGAGTTGTGTTATCAGTAAAAGGATACGATTCTCCCTTTTCTCGGATGAAGAAACCGCGTTCTCTTGCTGTCACCACCACTCCTGCTCCTGCTATTGCTCATTACCTTAACATAAAACACAGAGCTAAATACAACAAGTTCACACCTGCTCCCTTGGGGTTGTGGGAAATGTAGGAAACTATCATCTAAACCAAATGTAGACAAGGCAGGTTTGAGGGGAACGTGGGATTCACAAAAAAAAAGAGAAAAAAAGAGGAAATTACATCAACTTCAGCACAAAGACTGATGAGATCTCAGCAGTGTGCAGGGAAAAAAGGCGGTAAGGTGATGGGGGGTCTGGGTCTTTATGCAGCAGTACACTCCTTTTCCATCCACAGATAAGTTTTCTTTTTTTCTTTTGGAGCAGGTAGTTGCCTGGGTGGGCCTGGTTGGAGGCAATCTTTCCTGCCCTTTTCTTTGACCCTGGTGTCCTGCAGCTGCTTGATGGGGGAGCAAATGACAGCCGATGACCCCTCAGCAGTCAGCAGTACAGACAAGGTGCTGCAGTTTGTCCTTGGAAGCAGGAGGAGGGCGAGCCAGACTGAATACCAGGACGCTTTCGATTACTGCCTCAGAAAAATTGGACTGGGATAGGTTGTGTGGTGTCAAGTTTTCTCAGATGCCACAGGAAGAAGATCGACTGTTGTGCTTTGCTAATTAGGCGAGGGATGTTTTCCTTCCATCTGCAGGCGTTAGTGGATTCAAGTGCATACATGTGTGTGCTTGTGTTTGTGTGTGTACATGACATGCATGGCCTCTGCAGCAAAGATCGATGTTTGTATGAATATGAAGAAAAATGGAAATGTAGCAGATACAGTGATTTATTAGACTGCCCTCTCTCTCTCTCTCTCTCTCTCTCACACACACACACACACAAAGATCCTCACAGAAAGAGAAAAAGAGGGAGTGGGAGAAAGAGAAAGAGAGGAACACGGAGAGAAAGTTTGCTCGAGGCAATATTACCCACCTCTGTTGTCTTAAAATCTAGCCCTCAGCCATGCAGTCAGGAGTTGTGTCAATATAGGTTATTATATACGCACGCACACACACACGCATTCACCGGCTAACCGAGCTGCACGGTGGAGCAGCACCATGCATGACAAATGTGTCATAAATAAATATCTCCACATCAGATTAAATGAAATAAAGTCGCATCAGAGCATGTGAGCAGGCACACAGACAGCACAGAACATGCAAACACATGACTTGATGACATGTTTGCAGCCAAGGATGCTGTTACTAGAACAAATTCATTGTCTCACTCTGGGACTCATTAAAGCACACGAGTAGGACTGTCATTATGTGGGAACCCAAACTGGGTAAATGTTGTCCCTTAAAACTAAGGCTCATTAAAACACACAAGAGCAAATGAGAGCCCAAAAGGAGCAGGCGTGTGTGACCCATTTTGGCTCATGACTGTGTCGTAGTATGCCGTATGACACACACACACACACACACATACAAATATCCTAAACAGTGAACTGGCCGACGAACTGAGACAGGATGTGGATGAAGGCCACACACGTCAAATGTGCCAGATGAAATCACATTAGTAACTTCAGTGAAATCTAATTAAATCAAGTTGAATCAGCAGCTGAGGCGGTAAAACCACTGCTGGTTGGCTCTCCGCCCTGCAGCCATGACACAGTCTCACGCTCCTGGTTACAAAAAGGGGTTTTCTTCTTAGCAGGAGTTCAAACACAATGGACTGCAGCCCTGTTATTGCAGAGGTTGTTGCTCTTCTTCTTTTTCTCCTTTCCCCTAATTTCCCCCCCGAAGCACTTAGAGCTCAGAGACCATACAACCTATACACAGCCAAGGTTTCCAGATAGGTCTAAAATTTCCTTCAATACTCGGGCAGTAAAAGTTATACCAGGGGTGTCTTAATTGACTGGCAGTCTGTATAATCAAACTATTAAATAGAGGCAAAATGCTAATAAAACAGTCTAGCCAGATGGTGGCTCTGTAACAATCTTTTTTATACTTAGGACAATTATTTGTAAACCACCTATTGTAGAAACACCATTTTTTTTCTCATGATTTCTTGGGATGAGGTGAATCAGATGTACACAGGAACATCCGTTTCTACACCATACTGAATTTTTTAAACAGTGTATTTATGTAAACTCCCCCAAAACCATTCACCCAATCATCTACAGCTTTGCCATTTGGCTTCTCTGGTCTCAAGCCACGATGTTTGAATTTAGTTGTTATAGGTGCTAGGGTGTGGCGTGAATCAAAGACAAACAAACAAACTGGAATTTTGCATGTAGCTGATTCTGTAATAACCAGATACTCGTAACTCCATAGTGGTTTTCTTAAACTAACATAATGGAGAAAATCTCTTTAGTCATAATTCAATAAGACTTTTCCAATATACCAGTGTTCATTTTTCCATTCAGGTGCTCAAAGTCACAGTTCCTTTTTTTATGGACCTTATTTCTTATTCTTGTTCACATCCTGATATCAATGTGCTCTCTGAGGATATACTGTATGTTGGAATTTGGATTATACTTGACCACTAGTCAGTCCCTTTCTCATCTGTTACTTCTCACCTCAACCGGCAGATATTGCAACACTGCCACCTGGCGGTTAAATGCTAAAACTGCAATGGATTTATAGTGGACCCTGACTGAAACCCTTACTCCACGTGCTGTGCACTAGCCAAAACCCATTATGAATAAAAAATATATTATAATAAGGTGCATAAAATAAATAGTACATGATTCCTCTCCCGCTTCAACTTAAATCCAATATTATAAAGAACGTGACCTTCTGTGATCTGTGTGAGTATTAATTGCTCATTTATGTTGTGTGTGATGTCGGTTATGGTCTGGTCTGTGTTGAATAAGAGGCTTTAATCTAAATTACACTTTTACCTGGTTAAAGCTTATAAAATCCTATGAAACAAAATGAAATAAAGAGCAGACCAGTAAAGGGAGAAACAGAAATATTGGCTTAGTTAAAGGTCAAGTGTGTAGGATCACCTTCTGAGTCGAAGCTACGAAACACCCAAAAAGCCAGTATTTGGTTTGTCTCTTCTGGGATACTACATAAACAAGGCGGTTCATCATGGCGCCCTCCACGGAAAAGGACCCGCTCTATTAGATCATTATTAAGTAAGAAAAACACAACGATTCTTAGATTCAGGTGATTATACACTATTGAAAACAAACCATTTCCATTTCTGCCAACAGAGCCTCCTAAATGATACACACACGTACTTTCTGGATTAATCAATGTGCCTATTCCACGAAACACTTTAGGTTTTCATGTTTGTTTTAACATGTTTTAGTTATCTGGATAAACGTATATATGTTCAATTGACTACAGTACCCGTCATGCCTCTGGTTGTGCGTGATGACGCCACAGAACATCAACAACTCACATGTGGCCTAGAGCGGCGAGCGCCGTTGCTGTGTTAGCAACAACTGGGTAATGTGGAGCTGACTTCCCAGCCGAAACATCACATTAAAATACATTTTATTTGGCTATACGCGTTGATAAGCTGTACTTGAGCCAACATGCCTCCGAAGAAACCCGCCCAGCCTGCGGGAAATAAAAAAACTCAAGAGAAGAAAAAGGAAAAGATAATTGAGGTAAAAATAACACGAGTTAGCATGTGGGTATTTAGCGTTGGCGCTAGCTCGCTAGCTCGTCAGCTAACGGACCGCCGCACCGTGGCAGTCGGTCAGTGCTAACCGAAGCTAACACAAGTGCCGACAAGTAAAAGCTAAAGTTACACTGGTCTCTTGGTAGTTGTCAGCGTTACCTAATTGTTCATCAGTCGTTGTTGTTAATGTAATAGCCGTTTAATACAAATGCAAACCACTATAATTCAATCGTAAGCAACTTAGCCAACTGTCACAAATGCATGTATCTTACGGGGGTGGTCCAGCTCCTAGCAGGGCCGACCGGCCCAGTAAGTGCTCACACTTGTCCTTTTTAAGGTTGATATATGTCCCTTTAGTCAGTAGCCCAAAGTATTTGCTATAACATAACGTATTTCTACTATATTCTATGATTAGCTTGGTTGTTTTTGAATACATGAACGGGCAGCAGAGCGCGGTGCGGCGGGCCTGTTGTAGTCGGCCTTACAGGACGGACGAGGGACCACATTTGAGGCAGTTTCGATGCCGAGCTAAAACAGGAGAAAAGTTTGTCATTTTAAAACGTGATTTGCGTGTTGTCAGTGAGAGCACTGTTATTGCCGATGTTGGCTCCGCTAACCATAAGACCGTGTTATATTTCTCTGTCAATGGGACCATACCGGCTTGGTAGCGTTAGCCGCCTTTTGCTGCTGTACAGGCTCAGATTGGACTGCAACGTGTAATCGTGTGCCAGATGGTTTAATATCCTGGGAGTGTGTCAGAAAAGTTTGATCTTAGGTGATTTAATTCATGAAGACAGATGTTTTATTTGCTCTGAATGTCACGAGTTGGCAAATATCTATCATCAGTCTAATTTCACAACAGGTAGTGATACTGAGCAAGCCCACTAGATTAATAGCACTTTGCCTGTCACCTGTAATCCCATGGAAAGACCAAAACCAACAATGAATATATTTAGTTAACAAGTACTGACTGTAAATAAGGCCTAATATAACTTATTTCACTTTGCCATGGACCTCCATTGTTGTCCAGAAACTATTGAAAACTCGTGAGCCACATGGTTGCACAGGGTGACATGTTAACCTGTGGCTGAATATAGTCTCTAAACACACTGGTTACAGTGCCCAGCTATTTTGGGAAATCACTGACCCTTAACAATGAAATTATATATTTATGTCTTTGAGTGTGAACCAATGAGTGCCACAGACAAGGTAATGAAGTCAGAAACGATAGAGGGACAGGCTAATGCATTGTTACACAGCCTTGTTTCTCTGAAAATGTACGTTATTTTATCTAAATCTTATTTAAGAGTCTGTAAATATTTATGCTGAAAAAGAAACTGTTTTAGAAACAATCCGTCTTGTATAGTCACAAGAAAAGTGATTCCAGACAATCCATCAGTAAAAAGTTGTCACATCTGATTTAATAAGATTCAATTTGCTGATACAGATTGTTGTTGACCCAGTGGTTGTTGACAGATTATAGCAACGTGATATAATGAATCTTACTTTCTGTCTTTTGCCCCTTTCCTAAGTAGCCAGCTCTGTGTGGCTCAAATAAGATTCTGGTTTTCCCTGAAATCGCTTACTAATTACCATTGTGTCCACATATTGGTGTTTATATAACCAAAGCAGCTGCATTAGCCTGAATTTTACTACCTCTACACACTGTGATAACAGCAACTTTGCAGCTTCACGTCACACTTGTGTGATGCATGTCTGAATATTACTGTTGTGATACAGAATCGACACGAATGCAAAAGCAGAGATGCAGTGTCAACTCGTGTCCCTGTTTTCTGTGCCATTCTGATTATTTGAAAATGCATTAAAAGACGAGCGTTTTTTGTTTTGTTTGTGTTTTTAACTCTTCAATAATTGCATGTATACTGTTTCATATTATTATAATATTTGGCTGCAAAAAATTATATTATTATATTTACCAGTATATCCTGCAACTTTATAGTGGGTTTGTAGATGTGGGTCATCTGTAAACCAACCAGCGACAGTCACATAGTGGGATTTGACCACCAGAGCTCTACATCAGATGTTGGTGGACGTGTGTACCAGTGCAATGTAGAAGCAACTTTATTGATGCTTCTAAATGCTTCTAAAATTCTCATCTGGGGCAGGCCGAAATCACAGTGTATAGAGGCCAATAAGATCTGTGCTGCTACAAGTGGCATCTCTGGGTGTGTTGTCAATGAAAGTAACTCTTGTTTGGCTTTTTTTTTTCTAGGACAAGACATTTGGCTTGAAGAACAAGAAAGGGGCCAAGCAGCAGAAGTTCATCAAGAACGTAACCCAGCAAGTCAAGAGTGTCAGACCGGTTAGGAAGCAATTCTTGCTCTCACTATCTGTTTTTCCCCATTCTTTAATAGCACTGATTGTCTCCCTCCTCGCTTTCTAACTCTACTTTTTTTCCCTCACTATTCCAAATAATTTTAAATATCAGCTAGGAAAATGCCACATTTGTCAGAGACAACTTTTAGTTGACTAGATGGCACCACCTATCAGGAGTTTAGTCTCCTGTCTGTATGGTAGATATACAGATCTGAGTGCTCAGATATGTACAACGAATAAAACAACTACTTACAAAACAAGCTAATGTCATTGGCTCAAATCATCTTTAACTATATCTACTGTCTGTGTGTGTGTGTGTGCGTGTGGGTGTGTGTGTGTGTGTGTGTGTGTGTGTGTGTGTGTGTGTGTGTGTGCGTGCATGTCCAGGGTGATGCAGATAAGACCAATAAAAAGACAGACAAGAAGAAAGAATTGGACGAACTCAATGAGCTGTTTAAACCTGTAGTCGCCGCCCAGAAAGTCAGCAAAGGTAACCAAGTGAAAGAATCAATTTTAACTGTTAGTTTCTCATTTTAGTTGTTCATGTAAAAATATAACTATATATGTGTAAATATATTTGCCGGTTGCTTGTGTGTGTGTTTATTAAATTGACCAGTTTACTAGAAAAGATCATTAATTACTTACTCTTCTCTCTTGTCCTCAGGTGTTGACCCAAAGTCAGTGCTGTGCGCGTTCTTTAAGCAGGGCCAGTGTACTAAAGGTGACAAGTGCAAGTTCAGCCATGATTTGTCAATGGAGAGGAAATGTGAGAAGAGAAGCGTCTACGTGGATGAACGAGATGAAGAGCTGGAGAAAGGTCAGTGTATAGTGTAGGATGACAAGGATAAAACTGTATAGTGCTAAGTGATGTTAGAGTTGGGACCAATCAGATCCTGTATCGGTATAGGGAGCCAATATTAATATAATTCACATTTTACATATCAGACTTACATCATACGTCTGATGGTTTCATGAAAATGTAATGATGCAATTTCAAGCCCATAGCAAAATATTATATTACAAATTAATGAATTAGTAATTAAACAGTACTACAAAGATATCCAGTAGTCCCCATATTGTTTTGTCTCCAAGAATTCTATATGTACAGGTGGAGCTTGTGCTGTACCATGAGACAGCTGTAACAGTATAATAGCATAACTCAACATTTCCTTAGTTTGGAGATAATTTAGTCTTGAAACACAGAAGAGAAAGATATATGCACCAACACCCTCACACCCTGTTGCAAAAACGTAACTACCCCTCCCTTACTTAATGCAGATTCTCAGAAACAGTGACTGTTACATGACAAAACGGGACAGATTCTAATTAAGTGATGTTTTTTGTTTTTTGTAAGAATGTTGCATCTGCACCAAGAAGTACAGCTACAGTGTTAAACATATAAAGTCAGTAGGTGTAAACGGTATACATGTTGGTATTGTAGTGACATATAAAAATATTAGTATTCATGTTACCCGAAATGACCACGAAAAGCTCTCTGTTGTGCATTCCTAGTAAACGTTTTTGTGAAAAATGCTTGATTACTTGTTGAATTAATTAACACTGGGCCTGGTATGTTCCATTTAGACACCATGGACAACTGGGACGAAAAGAAGTTGGAGGAGGTGGTCAACAAAAAACACGGAGAGGCTGAGAAGAAGAAAGCCAAAACACAAATTGTAAGTCTGAGTTAATAATGAATGAAGACAGGGAAATGAAATGGTCCATCAAATGTCCATTTGATAATTGATAATGAACTGTGCTGAGAGAGACATGTTGAGGGGCCAACTGACTCTCAATGTCTCTCTCAGTTTAAATGAAAACAAAAGGCAGTACATTTCTGTCAGTGATGGAATAAGTCCATCAGTGATTATGAGGTCATTATGAGATGCTGTTTTGTCCCCAAACACATGGAACCACTTGACAGTCACTTGAACTTAAAATTCGGCCAGCTAAATACAGTCTGATATCCCTGTACCCTCTCTGTAACATTATCTACTCTGTTGTGTTGTTGCAGGTGTGTAAGCACTTCCTGGACGCCATAGAGAATAATAAGTACGGCTGGTTCTGGGTGTGTCCAGGAGGGGCCGATGTCTGCATGTACCGACATGCCCTTCCACCTGGCTTTGTGCTGAAAAAAGACAAGAAGAAGGAGGAGAAAGAGGATGAAATTTCGCTGGAGGAACTCATAGAAAACGAGGTATGGATGGATGGGGAGAGGCAAAGTCTCTATGATGATACTCCAATCCAGCAAATATTTTTAGAGGCTTGTGGTGAATAGGAGCAGAATAGGGGGCTTGGAAAAAATGGGCTGAAAGGAATGCTACTGGGGATGCTTCATCACTTTACTTATGTGCATCCATCTTTATTCCATAAACTGGATTTTGCACCAAATCTCAACAAACATGGTTGCTGCCATCATGGAGGTCCAGTGTAGACAGCATCTTTAAATGATAAAGAAATTTGTTTAGAAAAATAGATTGTTGTCTGGAAGTTGTTGTAGAATGATGATGATAAATGTAAGTAGCATTTCGTCAAGCCTCCTCTCCAAAACAAGAGTTTGTTCTTCAATTTGCCACCCAGCTGTAAGAAAGCTTAAACATAAATACACAACTGCTCACCACAGTTCCATCCAGTAGAAATGTTAGTGTTTGAGTCTAACGTGGTAACACGTGGTGGTTAGCTCACCATTCTGTTAGATGTTGGCTAACAAGCTGACATTAGTACTAGCAATTATTAGGTAAATAAACTTTATTACGCCTCATTACATCTTTTAAAAACAGTGCTTCACATATGCACATTAAAGTATACTACAATAAAGATGAGCTCAATGAAACAGAATTAGTTAAATTGTAAAATGCCAGTCTATACAGATAGACTGGAAACAAAAGAAAGATCATTGATCAGTAAAAAAACAACTCAGAAATAAATCTGAGAACCAAACTGGGAAATGTAACCAGTTCCCTTAAGATATTGTTGCCTAACCGTTGAGCTCCTCCATCAGGGCTACCACACAAGGTCTGATGTGAAATGCTTTCTAAATACTGCATGTGACTGTTATTACCATGGAAGCTGTCTTTACTCTCCACATCCTGATGTCCGCCTCTCTCCCTGCAGCGTGCAGCTCTCGGTGCCGATGTGACCCGGATCACCCTGGAGACCTTCCTGGCTTGGAAGAAGAGGAAAAGGCAGGAGAAGGTTGGAACACGTTTGCTTTATTAGCATCAGTTTGTCTGGGCAATTCCAAGTCCCTTACATTTCCCTGTGCAAATGAGGTCTTGTGATGATTCAGGAAATACTCGCATGTAGTTTAATTCCACAAATAAATCATAAAATGTTTTACGAATCTTATGTGCATAAACGTTTTAATTGATTAACAGGTGGACAAAGCGAGGGAGGAGATGGAGAAGAAGAAGGCCGACTTTAGGGCTGGAAAATCGCTAGTGGTAAGTTTGGCTCCAGCTGGTGTGTGAGTGTGTATTTGTCACAGAGTTGTCAGGTAGCTGTTTGATTTCTGTGGTCACAGATGCTATATATAGCAAACAGTATTTATTTCCACACTAATACTGGATTTGATTTGATCACATGATCTGTAGGTGAGCGGCCGTGAGGTGTTCGAGTTCCGTCCAGAGTTGGTCGACGACGATGATGCTGAAGCCGATGACACTCGATATGTCAGCGATGAGGAGGAAGATGATATGGAAGAGGTAAATATGAAATGATTATGAACAAATTTAGCAGTTGATACCAGAGACACAGACGGAGGAGAGAGCTGACAACTGTGAACTCTGCACAAAAGTTTCGCAACTAAATCACCTGCACGTGACATAATCTTCTTCCTGTGGCATTTAACAGCCGACTAGAGTATTTGCAGAATTTTGGTATCGACGTGGTACCTTAGCATCGGTTCAGGTGACATCCCTGTTTGTGGCACAGTCACAGAATGTGAGACTCTGCCTTCTGTGGAGATCATAACCTCCTGCAGTCAATGGTTATTTCATTTGGCTTTGTATGACTTCATATTGATTTGTGCTCGCACTTGAAGTGAGATGTCCCAGCACAATAACTGCACTCAACATTATTTGGTGTCTAATATAGTTTACATTGTTTACAGAATATCTGCAGTATGACAGTGTTGTGATGTCTGCTCTCAGTCTGTCAGCGTTTCCCAGCTTATTTTGGTTATGCTGTGAGGTTGGTGTTGTCAGGCAGTTATCTGCAGGTCACTTTTAAAGTGCTTGTTGTAGTGCTCCACGTGAGATCATGGCTGTGGCTTTTACAGTGAAAATGTCATTTATGTGTCTCTTACTGCACTAATGTCCTGTAATGGTGTTCAAAATGTATCCCAAATAAAGCCCACATTTCCAGGTTTAGCACATAAATTGAAAAGTAACAGCAGCAAACGCTGGCTGCACAAAGAGAGGTCAAACGAAAAGTGAGGCTCTGGTGATGTGGATGATGTGTAATCCCTACAGTTTCCACATCTCAAAGATGAGACGGCAACATTTTCCAGTACACTGTTTACTCTCATTCATAAGACATTATAATTGAGCTTTCTTACAGGTGATGCAGAGTGCTTTAAATGGTCTAATTCCTGCTGAATTGCAGCTGCCTGCTTTTTCACACAACAAATGATTTGCCTGTTAATTATCCACACCTGCTGTGTGCTGCTGTGTAGATCCAGGCAGTTAATTAATACGTAACATGTTTAATGCACCAACAAGACATTTTTTATTCTTAACTTAATTAAACACAATTTAGCTATTATTCCTGGTGGATTTAAAAAAAACCCTAAAATGTGTAATAATTTGTCTAACTATAAATCAGGTCCCTTATTTAAGCAAACATCACTATAAAAAAATAAATCCTTATTTATACAGCTGGACTTAAATTAACACACGAGGACTCCTTATCACCGTATATCACCAACACACTTTGGGACATGTTAACTAACATTCAGTATTTGGTATGTTAGACACAATGGATAATAAATGACAGGTTTTACCTCGAGTACACTGGTACAATAAATCAAAAGCAAACACATCTGCTTGAGTTTGTTGTTCAGTAGTAACCAACATGAAGGAAACTTTTATTTTCACTATTTATTCTCACAGACCAAACTGTACCAGATATCATCAACATATTACTTTCATGTTATTTTAGCCTCTGTCTTTGTGGCACACTCTTCTCTAAACCTTATTTATTTTCATTACAGATCAGCAGCACAGAGTTTCAGGACATAGACTTATCCCGTTTCGTTCCACAAGAGGTCGACAACACAGGCATTACCGTAGCATCTACGGACCGCTTCACCTCTAGGAAAAAGACTCAGCCAACGGAAACAGACAATGGTAAGAAAAACGTACTCATTAGTGATTTCTGCCTAGTTGGTAGGCCGAACTATCTGTTACCAGCAAATACATTTAGTTAGAATCATAACTTACAACTTACTTATTCCTCTTCTGTCTACAGAGGAACTGCTGAACGGAGCTTGCGGTGGCGCTGAGGCAAACGGTCTTTCGGGAGCAGAGGGAGGCGGGGAGGACGGAGGAGGGGAGGAGGACGAAGAAGAGGAGGAGGAGGAGGTTCCGGTGGATGAGAACCTCTTCACGGGAGAAGATCTGGAAGAGCTCGACGAGGAACTCAACACACTGGCGCTGGAGGACTGAGAGGGAAGCACGTGAGAGGGAGGGAGCGTGAGGTGGAAGTTAGGACGGACTTTGTGACAAAGGGAAGGACAGATGGATGCATGGAGCTAAACAACAAAGAGACCAGATGTTTGAATGATTTTAAATTTCAGAGACTCCAGTAATAAAGCCTGATTATATCACGACATCACTGCCTGTCTCGGCCCCCTCTGTTTTCTGTATCGCCCCTCTCACATCCCAACATGTCCTCGGTTTCTTTTGTCCATTGGGTGTCCAGATGTCCACAGCAGGGCCAATTAGGGTTAACCAGGGGCCAACTCCACATGAATGTGTCAGAACTTCCATATAAAGAGAATCGGGCTGCTGTTGTTAATGTGCACTTTTTGTTGCACAACGTTGAAACTGAAACTACTTTTGATAAATTAGGCTTCAAGTGCTTCTCTACCCGATCACAGTTAAATATTGAATATAGTGATTTGCAGAGTGAGATAATGTAAGGGCTTTAAATTGAAAGCACTATACTTTGGGGTTGTACTGTGAGAAAACACTTATAATAATAATAACATTATTAATGGATGTTTAAAAGAGTTGTTGTAAATGGAAGTTAGACAATGTGGGAAATGAACAGGAGTGATTCTGTTGTAAGAAACTGAATCTGTTCTGCTCTCATACCAAAATAAAAGCTTTACTTTAGGGTTGCACTTTCATCTTTCTGAGGAACATTTCTTCTGATCCATTTCATTTAGCTAAAGTTAAAGCCCTGTTGAAAATGTCATGCAACTTTTTGAAGGAAAAGTCCAGACAAGCTTGTAAACTGTTGGCCCTCTTTCTGAGACCAGATTATTGCTATAATTCAGCCCCAGCAGGGACACCAAATGGTCCCAGTGTCAGCCCAGTATTGTAAATAATATTCTCATGAGTTGCCTCCTGAAGAAATAAAAGATTACTGTACATCCAGCGTGTGTGTGTGTGTGTGTCTTTTAAATGATGCCAGGTCCCACATTATGATTAAAGCAGCCATAGTTTATATTTTTATGATTTATTAATGACCGTATGAAAGGGGTTGCTTGTAGCCATGTACCTACAGAGAATTAAAACCCCAATATGCAGCTCCCATCGGCTTTACAGAACTTCATGGTGAGTTTCAGCTGATTGTTTATCTGTCCAGACAGCATTCACTGTTTGGATTCATGTTCAACACTGTTTTTTTTAGAAAAAAATAAAATAAATCCACTGTACACTGCCTGCTCAGCAGCAAGTAGAGAGGTGCAGTGAGGGACTGGTAAACACAGTGGCTCATTCTGCAGCGAGAGGCAGATGATTTCTCTCAGGAGACCAAAGACAGAGCTAAAAGAGTGAACGTCTAATATGTTAATGCTGGATGTGTAAAAATGAAACTGTCTTTGTTGTGTTCACAATTTGATTCTGCAGTGGGTGATTTGATTTAAACGTACACATTTTGCAGTTGCTGGCCAGATCAACCTGTTTGGGGGCCTCCGTTGCCACAGTACAGTGCACACATCACACTATAGATATAGATAGCTTCATTTTAGTTTGCACAGAAACTAAACTAAGACCCAGGAACCAACTGATACACATATACTGGACTTCTTGCCTGGTCCCAAGTTATCTGTATGCCAGTTAGTTTGTGGTAGTTTGATGAAACACACCATAATTTAGAAAGTAAAAAGACAGGACCAGTTGATATTGCTAATTTGAAAACACATTTTGAAAGTAATCAAAATTGCCAAAAAGCAACTGACAGTGAACCACAGGGTCCCTGGAGGTCTTGGCCCTTGAGGCAGCAGCTAACCTATATCCAGTTTTGGTGCCAGTGATGCTGAAATTCAGAAATAAATTAAATGCATTTTCAAGAGCAAAATGCTTTTTTGTCAAAAGGATTTCGTGGCTGGCACATCTTAAAGGTAATTACAGTACACATACAGACACACATCATTAAAGCACCCCACATTAACATGTACCTGAAGCATTGCTTGGATCACACCAGCCCACCTCATTCACAACTGTCACATTCATACCTACCAAGGGAGGCGTGTTCAGCAGCTGTATATGATATATTCAGAGCTAGACCAACTGAACATTCAGTTTATTTCTAGAGTCTACCGTCTTGCCCCATGGAGAATTCAAACTACATTTTCTCTCAACTAAAATGTTATTTCATGTTTCCCTCTTGCATACTCAACCACATTTACCAGCTGATCTTATTTAGCCAATATTTGTACCCCACCGCTATTCTGAAGAATTAGCAAAACGAGCACATGAAATAAATCTGTCAAGAAGTCAGTGCACAATGGCAATATTCTGAGACGGACAAAAATGTATTTTAAGCCACCAGGGAGTCTGTGTTCACCAACGCATACAACTGGTTTCTGAAATGTCACATCATGAACATCTTATTAAAACAATTAAATGTACAGTTATTCATCGGGCTGCTACAAAAGAAGAGACGAGACAGGTTGGATGGTGTTTAACTGATCTTTATTTCTACTGAGACAAAAAAAAGTGCACAGTTAGTCTGATAGACATCTTTGATCTGACCTCAACATGGGATTACAAGGCATATTATAAGAGAAAAAAGTAGATCTGAAAAACAAAACACTAAACTTTACAAAGCCTGTTTAGTGAGCTTATCAACGGACTGCAGCCTCCTGCAGTTTTTAGGGATAAAATACTGCCAACCACCTGAACTACAATGTAACCCATGAGATTCTTAACTTGAAAACAAGAGTTCCTTCAACAGCCTGTGGATACACATGGTGTGCTTACTGAGTCCAGCTGACAAGAGCCAAAAGCAGTGTACTTGGAAAAAAGTATAAACTCTGACACTAAGCATGAACTACACATACTAACATCGATGCTGCTCACAGACTGTATAGGGTTAACTTTAGTAGTGGATGCTACTGTGTGTTTGTTAGATCAGTGAGTCACAGCAAGGTCACTGACCACAGGTAAGGTCAGACAGGTGTCAAAGGTCGTGTCAGAGGTCGGGAGAAGGTCTTGATGTCGGTCGGTAGGTCGGTCAGGTCAGATGTCATTGTGTCATGACAACAGTCGCCTAGGGAACAAGAAGCTGCAGTGTTATTCACAGGAAGAGAAACAACCGTCATCAGCAACTTGTAGACATCTTGTTAGACTGAGTAGTGCTTTCCTTACTAAGGGCAATAACTGTTTTACAGGAGGGCACAAATGTGTGGATGGCTGCAGGGGGGCGTGTCTAGAGAGAAGAAGCTCTTACACACAGGAATTTGCAAATAAAGCATTTTCACTGGGAGGTCAAAATATTTTAGATTGTGTATTAGAACAATGTAGTGTGATCTGTACCATAATATACGTGTGTGTGTGTGTGTGTGTGTGTGTGTGTGTGTGTGTCTCTCACAGAGGGCCTACAACCAGCTCAACCAGCAAGAAGAGGTTCTATTTAGTAATACCTGATGTTGTATATTATACACAAACTGCCGCTGACCATTGTGTTGATGCGTTACTTCCTACGAGATGTACTACATTTCAGTGTGTTTATCTAGCATAAGCATATGACATTACAACACACACTGGTGTTGCATTTAAGAAATGTGACTTAACTCTGCAGTTATTCATACTGGCGTTCCCTGCAGCAGAAAACTTGGCACTTACCGCTCATTTCTGCCACGTGACCCTAGTAGGTACGAGGACGTTTATGAGACTCCTCTCTGGGAGGATCAGCCAGCATCACCTTCATCTTTACTCCATTGACGACCCGACCGTGAAGCACTGCCATGGCCTCGTCTGCGCACTGCGAGATATTTATTTAGGGAGAAATACTTGATTTGGTATGACGCCTTTTGGAATCATATCACTTCACTTCCTTCATTATTTAACTGTTTAACCTGCATCAGTTCAGAGTGTCACCTGTTTGTCTGCATACTTCATGTATCCAACCTTCCTTCCAGGAACCAAATGGACCTCAATAAGGGAACCAAAGCGACTGTAGAGAAAAAAAACATTTAATTGTAAAGCCGGGACATTTGTTAATGCTGATTGTCTGGAGCTTCATTTTAATAGCCTTACACTGCCATTTAAGAGCATTTAGCTTGATGCTCATTATCCAAAGTCAGGGACTGAGATTAGAGTAATTGTAATCAATTAAACCTTTGCCCTTCTGGCTAATGGACCATTGTTTTATGCATTTTGTAACGTTCATGTAACATTGTACATTTGTGTTATAATCAAGTAAAACTATGAGTCAACGTATGGGACATTTACCAGAAAACGTCCTCCAGCACATCCGGGGGCAGCGGGGAGGGGCTGAACACAACAAACAAGCGCTCCTTCGTCTTGCTGTCAGGTGGAGCGAGCTTCTTCAGAGGGGGCAAGCTGACGTCTGTCTGAATCCGGGACACTGGGGAGACAGCAGGGAAGCCCTGGAGGATACCAACAAACACACCCAGGATCAGTCATTTAGCTTTAACATTCTTGTTTTTCACAGCTAACTATAAAACCAACAGGTCAAATATTGTATTATCTTAAACATCAATTCCCAGGTTAGGTATGTTACAGGTCCAGTGTGTCATCTTTAGGAGGATCTATTGGTAGAAATGGAATTTAATATTCATAGGTATGTTTTCAGTGTATAATCACCTGAAGTTGTGTTACCTTAAAATGAGCATTTTTAATCTACAGAGGGAGCGGGTTCTCTTCTATATAGTCCACGGTGTTCAATCAGCGTGATTCTACAGTAGCCCAGAATGGACAAGCTGGCTGTAGATAGGGCTTTTATGCGGCCGCTGCAGTTGCTCCTACACGGAAGTCTGAGCTATATTCAAATAGTTGCAATCTACAACTTCACCGTTAAGAATCCTACACACTGGTCTTTTAAATTTTGTGTAATTACCAACTTTTCTATTATTTAATCTGTAAAGTGCTATAGGTGTCAGAGGAGGCCTGGAGAAGCAATTAGCCAGAAGAGTAATTAACCTTGAGTTGTTATTATACACAGGGTGAGTTGTTATGATGATGATTAAGTTTCTCTCTGAAGTGAAAATGTAAAAATAGAATAACTGAACTTTCAATTATTACATTTTTGTGGCAGTTTTCCAGATGAAGATTATTTCATCATGATTCTGCTGAAATATAATCAATTTGTGTTTAACAAGATGAACAAAACACTTTGCATGAGTGCAAATCTCACGGAAGCAAAAAAAACAGTGAATCAAGCGTTGATTAAATGTACTCACAGGTTTCATCACTTGGCTGGTGGAGGGCCCGTTCCACACTGCAGACATCATCTGGGCGGCAACAAACTGCATGGCCATTCGACCTACGGGACTACACACAAACACACGCACACATCCTGATTCAAGCTCATCTTCAATGGAGACACTCTCTTACAGATAACACATTTATAGTGAGTACTAGCGGGAACATGCCCGGTTAATAAAAATACTTTGTGTCTTCCTTTTTCTGCCCAGGCTGCTTTTTCAACATTGGTCGTCGGTATCTTTGCTCTGGTTAGGTTTACATGAGGCTTTCCTCTTTGTCTTAAATGTGTGGCGCCAACAGCTTTTACTGCTTCGGACTACGCATTTTGTCGTTTACTATATGAAGACTGTTTGCTCCTTTTCTTCATCAGGGAGTTGTGGAAAACCACTGCCCGGTCACTGTGGCCCACAGGCGGTAATACTCACATTCACCCATGAATATTTAACAAATATAGACCAAGCAGACGTAAGGAGAAGGTTACTGTTAATTATTAGTGGCATTTTGGTGCCAGTTTTTAAATTAATGGATAAATTAACTTTAAAGGGCATTTCTGTCCCATGCCTCCATTAATTAGGACCCTTCCGCAGTCAAACAGTGCAAGCTGTTGTGTTTATGAACTATATACATGCGTGTGTATGTACCTGCTGCGGTCCTCTCCGTCATCAACAAAATTTACTGCCAGTCTGTTGCCAGGTGGATAT